TATAATGGCTTTGGAAACCAGCAAGGGGGTTGGGGAAAGCCAGAGAAAAGGGTACTGCTAATAAACTATCTGTAAACAATTGATAGTTAAGATAAAAGTATACAATAGAAAAGTTGGAAAAATAGTGTTGTAAAAAGTAAAGGGTGGACATGCAGTGCTTTTTGTCTTCAGTTTTGAGGTATGTGCTGAAAACGTAGTTCATTTTCTTTGCTGCCCGTGACCTACTTATCCATTTTCCCATGCAGATTAGTGTGTGCTGTAGACAGCATGTGGTGGTGCCAGCACGTGTATTGTAATCCTAAGCTATCTACTGTGTGTGTCACAGTTCATTGAAAAGGACACTGATGAAGCGACAAGGAGATCATTCGTGCTTTGCATAAATCTAATTTTAGGGTCGTCTTTGACAATTCTTAGGCCGCGTACATATTTGTGTGAATGTGTGCATCTATAAATGTACACCTGTATTCTTTAGATATAACTCACATACCATAAGATTCACCGTTAATGTATACAATTCATTGGCTTTTAGTATATTCACAGAGTTGTACAGCCATCACCCACTATCTAATTCCAGAATATTTTCATCACCCCCCCCACACACACACACAGAATCCCTGTACCCATTAGCAATCACTCCCCATTTACCTTTCCCCACCCGTTTTCCTTGTACCACGAATCTACTTTCTATCTATGGGTTTGCCTATTCTGAACATTACATATAAATGGGAGGCCACATGTAATATTATTAACAATTCAGTTGTTGGGACATTTGAGTGGTTTCCACTTTTTGGCTATTATGAATAATGCTGTTATGAACATTCACATACAATTTTTGTATGGAGTATGTTTTCATTTCTCTTAAGAGAAGAATTGCTGGGTCATATGGAAAGTTTATGTTTAACTTTTTGGGGAATCACCAGGCTATTTTCCACTATCCCTGCACCATTTTACATTCCCACTAGCAGTGTATGAGAGTTCCAGTTTCTCCATATCTTCATCAACACTTGTTTATTGTCTGTCTTTTTTGATTCTAGCCATCCTAGTGATATGAAGTGGTATCTCATTGTAGTTTTGATTTACATTTCCCTAATGATGTTGACCATTTATGCCCGTTTTTAAATTGGGTTACTTGTTTTGTTTTTTTTTTTTTGTAAGATTTATTTATTTAGGGGCACTTGGGTGGCTCAGTCAGTTAAGTGTCTGCCTTTGGCTCAGGTCATGATCTCAGGGTCCTGGGATTGAGCCCTTTGTCGGGCTCCCTGCTCAGCAAGGAGTCTGCTTCTCCCTCTGCCCCTACCCCCACTTGTGCTCTCTATCTTGCTCTCTGTCTCTCTCAAATAAATAATAAAAAAATAAATCTTTTTTTTAAAGACTTTATTTGAGAGAGACAGAGTGCACAAGTGGGAGGGGCAGAGGGAGAGGGAGAGAAAATCTGAAACAGACTCCACACTGAGCTTGGAGCCTGGCATGGGTCTCAATCTCATAACCCTGAGATCATGACCTGAGCTGAAACCAAGAGTCTGACGCTCACCCTGCTGAGCCACCCTGGTGCCCCTCTTGCAGGCTTTAATATAAACCTGTAAGGTTTTCTGTGCTGTGATCACGGTATGCATGTAGTTTTATCATTCAGCAACAGCATATTTCTACAGTCCCACCTTTCCATGTTTCCTGAGGGAGTGCAAAACATCCCCAGTTAGGCATTTAGGGCATTTGCATTTGCCCTACTATTGACATTTTTGCAAAATTTCTTTTTTTTTTTTCTTTTTGAGATGATTTTAGAATAGTATGGGGATGTATTTTTTGTTATACTTTATTTATTTATTTTTTTAAAGATTTTATTTATTCATTTGAGACAGAGAGATAGAGAGCATGAGCAGGGGAGAGGCAGAGGGAGAGGGAGAAGCAGGCTCCCAGCCAAGCCAGGAACCAGACGCGGGGCTTGATCCCAGAACCCTGGGATCATGACCTGAGCCGAAGGCAGACGCTTAACCATATGAGCCACCCAGGCGCCCCTGCTATACTTTAGAAAATTGGTAACTCGGGGAAAAGTGTGGGCATTTTTTAATGGTATAATGTGTTTCCATGAAACAATCTTTTTAGAGAGCTTTTTTTTTTTAAACATTTTATTTTGTTTTTCTAAGTAATGGGGCTCGAACCAACACTGAGATCAAGAGTTGTTGCATCCTCTACCAACTGAGCCAGCCAGATGCCCCAGGCATGTTTCATTTTTATTAGACATAGTAGGTATGCCAATTTCATTATTATTACCTCTGCACTTAGAGGCATGTTCAGGGTGCATTAGGAATGGGGGAGGAGGGACTTCAGTGGGAGATGAGTCTAGCTGCATCTACAGGGGTGAGCAGGAGTTAGCAAGGGGTGGCAAGAGGAAAAGATGAAAGGGAGGTGAGGTAGAAAGCCACAGAGTGAACATCTTACTGCAGGATCCACCTACAAGGCAGAAAACCCACCAGTTTCAATCCCAAAGCCAGCTGATGCCATTGGTAGTTGAAAGGGATCATAAGGGCATCCACTGAAGCTCTACCCGAGGTGCTCCTCTTTCCCTCACCTCAGCCAGTTACCTTTCTGGATTTACATCTGATCAGGTTGCCTGCTGCTGAAGCTCTTAAAGTGCTCTCATCATTTCAGGGGTGTAGATGGAAATCCTTCCCACGTGTCTCAGGCCCTGCCTGTTTCAGTCCCCTGTGTATAGCACTCTCCTCCCTCTCTGGGCTCCAGGTGCTCAGGCCTATCTTGGGTTCTTCCTCTGCCTTGGCCTCTTCCTTCACCACTTCCTTACTCCAGCTCCCTCTGCTTTTCTTGGGGTTTTCTCCTCCCCCTGTTGCTGAGCTTCCTGCTACTGGGCTTAGCCTGTGATCAGACCCACTTACCCTGGGTCAAATCCCCCTACAGTGGAATCAGACCTTGATGAGGCTGCTCTCTATGGACAGCATGCAGCTAAAATGATCATTGAGACATTGCTTTGGAAGAGCCCGCACTGGAAACTGGTGTGTAGTCTCTCACTAACACACTTGAACACAGCCCGGTTTCCCTCTGGCCTTGGAAGTTACCACCTTTTTAACTGAGCAGCCTGTGAAGTGGCTGGCTGAGTTACAGGGTCGTAGTGTATGAAAATTAAGTCCCCCTGAGGTCTGGAATCACAGGTGACTCCATGAAGTACTCACATGTGGGGCCTGGGTGTGACTGAGAGAGCCACAGGTTTACACACTGCATCTCTCACTCACCGAGGGAGATGTTGGGCAGAATCCCCTGCGCTGTTTAAGTTGTTTGGTTTCTGGTTCAGCATGAATACTTGCACTCTCTATCAAGTGCCTCATTTGTAGGTCTTGCCCTGGTTGTAACGCACATGGGTTTGTGTGCAGATTGTCACTTAACCCAACTACAAGCTGCATGTGGCAGGGACCGGGTGGGTGTGGCTGCATCCACAGTGTCTGGCACACAGGAGGCTGCACTAAGCACTTGTTTAAAAACTGCTTTGCCACCTACTCCGTGGAACACTAGGCCTCTGGGGGAGATGCTTCAGAGTTCTGCCAATATTTGATGCACATTTCATTTAAAACATGTTTAGGGGCACCTGGGTGGCTCAGTTGGGTAAGCATCTAACTCTTGATTTCAGTTCAGGTCATGATCTCAGGGTTGTGAGATCGAGCCGCACGTCAGGCTCCATGCTCAGCATGGAATCTGCTCATCCCTCTCCCTCTGCTGCTCCTCCCTTTTGCGTGCGCTCCCTCCCTCTCTTTCTCTCCCTGTAAAATAAATAAAATCTTAAAAAAGAATGTTTAAACTATTGAAATTCTATTAAAACTTTGGCACTTGGGGCACCTGGGTGGCTCAGTTGGTTAAGTGACTGCCTTCGGTTCAGGTTGTGATCCCAGGATCCTGGGATCAAGACCTGCGTTGGGCTCTGCACTCTGCAGGGAGTCTGCTCCCCCCTCCCCCCCCACCCCGGTCTCAAATAAATCTTAAAAAAAAAACTTATCACCGTTACGTGTGCTTTATTTTTTTTTTAAGATTTTATTTATTTATTTGACAGAGACAGTGAGAGATGGAACACAAGCAGGGGAAGCAGGAGAGGGGGAAGCAGGCAGGGAGCCCGATGTGGGGCTCGATCCCAGGACCCTGGGATTATGACCTGAGCCGAAGGCAGACGCTTAACTACTGAGCCACCCAGGTGCCCCTAGATGTACTTTATTTATAGTACATGTCAGTGAATTGAACACTACTAGTCCTGTCAGGTTACCTTGTTCTTGTACAGTTCTTGAAATAAAGCCCGCAGTTGAAAGACTCTGAGCATCGCAGCTGCCTATGTTCATTCAGCAGTCAACAGGAAAACCCTCAGAAATAAATGCAAAGGCAGCTGAGCCTAATAGGTTAAGTGGCAGGCCTTGGAACAGTCAGCTGCCCTGAGATCTCCCTCTCTCCATCTTTTCCTAGCTGTGTGACCTCAAGTAAGGTAGTAGACCTCTCTGAGTCAGGATCCTCATCTGTAGTGGAGGGATAGGGACACAGTTGAGAGGAGTGGATGCATTGAAGCGGAGGAAAGGGCTTATAGGGCTTAGTCAGTGTTCACTGTTAACAGCTGTTGTTACTGTTGCCATTTCATCTTTAACCCCAAATGTCAAAATTTTGAAGAGTCTTCATTTATTCGTTGATTGAATTTATAAGTTAAGGGCTGCCGTATGTAAGTTTCACAAAAATGCCCTTGGCTTAAAAAAGGTGTGTGTCAGGGATAAAACCTTCGGTTTAGACTAAGAGAGCGCTAGTGCTTCAGTCCAGCTTCCCGCATAATACGTCACTCAGAAACCTTCGCATTGAATTCGGTCTCTAGGGTTAGGATCCTTTGGCTTCCTCATGTCTGCCTGCATAATCCTCTTCTCTGTTCTGCCCAGGACTCTTACTGAAATTTGACTTAAGAAATGGTCATGAAAGAAACCTTTCCTTAAAACTGCCAGTAAAGACTTCTTCACGTGTTCATCCCACAGAAACTTCTTGCACTCCTATAATGAGCCTGGCACTGTGGTGAAACGCTTTTACCTGTTGTCCGTGACCCAGTGAATCTTCCCAGGGGCCCTAGGAGGTAGGATGTCAGGTAGCTCGCCCAGGGGTGTGTGCTCTTGGCCTTTGGCACCAAGAACCCTTCTCCTTTCTGATAATGGGCTACTGTTCTGTCACAAGAAAGTTTTCGCCTCTAACTTGGCTGCCCAGAAGCTTCCTGACATAGCGCTGCCTTAGCCTTAGCCTTAGCCCAGCTTTTCCTTTGTTGCGTTGGTGCCCCTCCCTCTCTTGTGACTCTTCCTTTTTCTTGTTTGTGTTAGCTTTATTTAATTCTTTGGAATAGGATTATTCTCAGCCACTCAAAATTTGGGCAAATTTTGAAGAATGACATATTTTATGTTTTTAAAAAATTATATTGAGAGCAAGAGAGAGAGGGCAAGAGAGCACAAGCAGGGGGGAGCAGGCTCCCTGCTGAGCAGGGAACCCAACGCAGGGCTCAATCCCAGGACCTGAGATCATGACCTGAGCCGAAGGCAGACGCTTAACCGACTCAGCCACCCAGGCGCCCCCATAGTTTACATTTTTATCCTAAAAATATCTTGCACTTGTTTGAGTGTGAAACTTAGAAAAGAAGGGTGGGCAGGCAAAAACCTTCTTGAAAAAGCAGTGATTGAAGTGTAGTATTTGGGGGCGCCTGGCTGGCTCAGTTGGTTAAGCGTCTGCCTTCGGCTCAGGTCATGATTCCGGGTTCCTGGGATCGAGTCCTGCATCGGGCTCCCTGCTCCGTGGGAAGTCTGCTTCTCCCTCTGCCTGCCGCTCCCCCTACTTGTGCACTTGCATGTGCGCGTGCGTGCTCTCTTTCTGACAAATAAATAAATAAAAATCTTTTAAAAAATGTAGTATTTGATTCTAGGATTTCTTTTGGGCTGAGAAAGGTCATGGACAGCTTTCAGGTATGGTTTTCCATTTATTTTTATTTTTATTTTTTCTGGTTTTCCTTTTAAATTAAGAATCCAGATGCTCATAGACATCATATTTATTCACATTTTAATTTTTGTTTTTACTCTTAAAACTATGAAAACAAATTAAATGTACATTGCTAAGATGAACTTTCTAATTTTTTCTTTGCAGATAATGATGCTGCTTGAGCTGAACAATTAAGGTAACATTTATGACCTATGTAATATGCTTTTCTTATTCAGGATTCTTTATCAAATTTAGCTGAATTGTTAAAGTCATGTTTTAACCTTGGTGAGGTTGCCTGTGGGCAATCGTTCTGAACTGTGGAGTAAAAAAGACTTCACATTATATTTTAAGGTAAGTTCTGAAAATAACATAACAGGATACCTTTATTCATTCATCTTATGCTGAAGTTTCAAAGGGTTTTACTATTTTTAGAAAAGAAAAAGGGAGTATTTTTAATGTTTCCAAGCCAGTTATGGTTATGTTAATGTATAGATTGCCTGAAGCTAGCTTTTGTTGGATTCAGTGGGAAATAAGATGGTTTATATCATTATCTGTATCGCCATGTATGTTTATATACAACTCTACAGTAAGAATCAAAGAAATGTTTGTATATATATTGTTTTAGCAAATGCTAGCATCCTTGCAAAGAGGGTATCTGCAAGGCCCCAAATTATAGATAGGAATTGTAAAAAATCATACCCCACTTCCTGGTGTATGGGTCTAGCATACCCCAGATTTGTTTAATCAGAATAATGGCACCAACTAGGAAATCCTACATTATTATGAAAAAAGAAAAGGACTGTGTCAAAGTGTCTTGATAAAATTATAAATGACAAATCTCAAGGAATGTCTAAGACTAAATTTGGTAGATACATGCAACCAGTCATCTGGGGGGAGGTTATTAGATTGCATAATCTGGTTTATAATTTGATATGAAGATCCTAACAATTCAGTGCTGTGCAGTAAAACTTTGTGTCTGGTAAGGTAATTAGAGACTTACTCAAATACTGAGATAAATGATATACTAGACTCACACACATCTCTTACATCCTTAGAACACAGAAGGGAACTCTTGTGTTCATGTATCTTGAAAATCTTGTGAAAGGAACAGTCTTGGAATGGGGGCTGCTGGGGAAGGTTCCCAGTGTTGGTGATGACCATGCTGAGTGGTTCCGAGGGCTCAGCTGTTAGTTAGGTGAAGTGGGGTAGGATCACCAGCAGAGGAAGCAGCATGTGCCAGGGCCCAGGCAAGGGAGAACAAAGGAGCTGAGCAAGTGGAATTGAATTTCAGTTCCATCTGACTGTGCATTTGTCAATGACTGAAGCCAGAAATGGGGAGCAGGGCTAGGTGTCTTGTCTTAGAAGTTGGACTTAGATCTGAAAATCTGGAGAACCACTGAAGAGTGTTAAGGATAGGCCCTTAGACCAGTGCTTTTTCCTCATCTCGTAATAGCTGGTATGCAATTTTGGTTTTGTTATTCTTTTTTTCTATAAATTGAAATAGTTTAAGCAAGATTGCAAAGTTAAACAAAGGAACAGATTTACCAAGTTGTTACCTATGTCAGGAGATTAAGGGGTTTGGGATTGTTTCGATTTCCTCTCTGACATGAATGTAGTTTGGGCATTGAGCAGAGCAATCCACTGAAGTCAAAAAAGTCTCCAAGAGGTAAGTACTTTGATTGCCTCACAGTTTTGTTGGCCACTTTAAATTGTATCAGTTATAGTAGTAATTATTGTAGTAGTAACTTAAGAGAGCCAATAAGAGTTACGGACAAGTTCTACAGGTTTTACCAGAATAGTGTATCATGTAGTTGGAAATGCAGAATTCTTACACATGACAGGAAATATTTAATTCCATTATACTGGGTCACATTTGCTTATAACCAGGAGAGAGCCAGATACTGTTTACTGCAGTGAATTTCCAAATCCATCCTAGTCGATTAACAATTATTGTTCATGTCTTCATTACCTTCCCATTGATGGATTCACAATATATCCAGTTTCATGTTAAAGTTAATAACCATTTTTGCTCTAGAACTGTGCTGGCCACTACAGCTATTGCCTCTTTAAATGTGGCCATTCAAAGTAGTTATGATTAAATAAAATTTAAAATTCAGTTCCTCATTCCCTCCAGCCACATGTCAGATGCTCAGTAGTCATGTGGCAAGTGGCTGCCATATTGGAGAGTGCAGATGGGGGACATTTCCATCATTACAGAAAATTTTGTTAGTGCTATTCCAAAGATTGTCTCCTTTTACAAATTTTAATGTACTTAAAAGCCATGTAATAGTGAAATATTTACAGATTAAATGATATAATTTGATTCAAAATAACTGGGGAGAATGGGGAGTTGTTACGGAAGAAACAGGATTTGCCATAAGTTGATAATTGGTGAAGCTAGGTTAGGGATCCATGGGGGTTTCATTATATTATTCTCATTATTCAGAAATTTTGTGTATGTTTGAAATTTTCCATGGTAAAGAATAAAAACAGAAACCTTAAATAGGAACAGTGCTCCTGTTGGCACTTAAAAGTAGCCATTTGGGGACTCTGAGCCCAGGGTCCTGGGATCGAGTCCCACATCGGGCTCCCTGCTCAGCGAGGAGCCTGCTTCTCCCTCTGCCTGCTGCCCCCCTGCTTGTACTCGTGCTCGCTCGCTCTCTCTCTCTCTCTCTCTCTCTCTCTCGTAAATAAATAAATAAAATCTTAAAAAAAAAGTAGTCATTTGTAAATGGGCATCTGAAATTCTGCCCCACACAGGCTGGTGCCTGGGGTGTAGGGAAATGTTTAATCCTGCCCCGGGGCTTCCCCAAAAGGGTACATAGAGTACCGCATTCTTTTTTTTAAGGTTTTATTTATTTATTTGAGAGAGAGCACAAGCAGGGGGTAGTGGCAGAAGGAGAGGGAGAAGCAGACTCTGCTGAGTGGGGAGCCCGATGTGGGGCTCCGTCCCAGGACCCTGGGGTCATGACCTTAGCTGAAGGCAGACGCCTAACCAACTGAGCCACCCAGGCGCCCCTAGAGTACCACATTTTTAAGGTTTGTCTCATTCCCTCTGAAAACACACAAGTTGACAGCCCAGGTTCATATTTATTAAGAGTTAGAGCTGCCCAAATGAGTCTTGTGGGCAGAATGTGCTAGATTATGATATTTTGTTAAAAAATTCCATTGCTGCTGACATTAATTTTAGGCAAGTCCAAATCGTGTTCCTAATGAAGAGAATGGAGCCCATTTACTCAGTCATTGCTTATTTTTGTTCACAGCCAAATCAGTCAGCTTCTGTCTCTGGTTTCCTGGTTACCAGCTCCTATGGTCATAGCGTTGGAAGAGAGAAAGGGGAGGTCATTGAGAAAACCCTTGGCACAAGACGAAAGCCATCAGTAAAACTGTCACTGTGCCACCAAAGGGCTGTTTGAAGTTGTTACAAACAACCTGCCTACTTTGGTCTCCTACTGCATGTCTAACAAATGGGGGCAAGGGCTTATTGTGCGTAGAGAGGAATGGTTGAGAGCAAGGTGTTTGGGGTGAGACTTGGCTTTGAGTGCCTGCTTCAGTCAGCTTGGGGGAAGAGCAAGCCCTGACTGGCTGTGTCACGGAGTACCAGTAGGGTTGTGTCTGCTGTGTGGTCGAGCGCTCAGCATGTGACAGCTCTTGCATTAGGCATTTTCTGTACAGAAAGGACTGGGGACTCTGTGCTTTATTTCCCTTACGTACTGATATTCATAGAATCATGTAGAGAAATGTACAGGTCTAAAGCAATGTAATGGTACCTTTTATTTTACAGGGTTCTAAAGTCAAAATCGTGAGATTAATAATGGCAGGAAAATCTTCACTTTTTAAAGTAATTCTCCTTGGAGATGGTGGAGTTGGGAAGAGCTCTCTAATGAACAGATATGTGACCAATAAGTTTGATACCCAGCTCTTCCATACAATAGGTGTGGAATTTTTAAATAAAGATTTGGAGGTGGATGGACATTTTGTTACCATGCAGATTTGGGACACGGCCGGTCAGGAGCGATTCAGAAGCCTGAGGACGCCATTTTACAGAGGTTCTGACTGTTGCCTGCTCACTTTTAGTGTCGATGATTCTCAGAGCTTCCAGAACTTGAGTAACTGGAAGAAAGAATTCATATATTACGCAGATGTGAAAGAGCCCGAAAGTTTTCCTTTCGTGATTTTGGGCAACAAGATTGACATAAGTGAACGTCAAGTGTCTACAGAAGAAGCCCAAGCCTGGTGCAGGGACAACGGCGACTATCCTTACTTTGAAACAAGTGCAAAAGATGCCACAAATGTCGCAGCGGCCTTCGAGGAAGCAGTTCGAAGAGTGCTTGCTACTGAGGATAGGTCGGATCACCTGATTCAGACAGACACGGTCAGTCTGCACCGAAAGCCCAAGCCTAGCTCATCTTGCTGTTGATCGTCAGAGAGGTTGCCTGTGCGATCTCACCAACTTACACACATTCACAGAAACAAAACACGGTGGAGAAGAGAATTAGCATTTGCAGCAATGGACCATCTACTCATAAAATTAAACTAACCATATTGCTGCTTTGTTGGTGGGTGGGAGAAGGGACACATCCACTCATGGAAGAATCAATTTACTCAGTAGTGGCACCTTACATTTATAAATTGTAATGGTTGTCTAATAACATTTAATTTAAATATGTACGTTACAGAGCTAATAAAAGAGATGATCAATACTTTAATTATAATTAAAACAAAACACTTGAATATTCTGGAAGTTATTGTTTGTTTTTCCTGGGAAAATGGAGAACTACTTTTTATATGTGTATATTTTTATGTAATTAGCATTCAGTTCCTGGTTGAGGGGGAAAAAATTCCCTAAAGCAATAATGTTAAATAATAAAGATTAAAACCTAGTGCATTTGCATTGCAGTTATTTGATTACTTCTTCATTCTCTTTAAAATTATTTAAGTGTTCACATTTTCATTCTCCGTATCAGAATTGCTCTCACTAGTAATCACTCACCTGTGTGCCCCCACCCGCAAAACAGAAGCCAACTTTATCACTCTTGGAGGAAATACTAAGGATTGTACTTTGTGTGAGGGTAAACGACATCTTTGGTCACATGTGTAATGCCTTCTTTGTCATTGAACACTGTTTAGTGATTTGCTCTCAAGGAGATTTGATAAAGCAAATTGTAGTCTTTCGCGGGTAAAGTTCATATGCTGTGTGTGCTTATCCCATCCTACAGAGGCAAACCAACCCACTGTGGGTTACCAGAACATGCTGGGGCAGGGTTATCATGCCCTACTCATTGGGAGCCGCTGAAAAAGAATAGCAGTATCATTCAGTAAGCTAAGCTTTTGAAAGTCTAATCTAACAGAACAGACCATTTGGCTATATGAGGAACATTTTAACACTTTGAATTTGGGGAAATTAAATCTCTTCATATTCTCAGGTTAGAGACAGTTTTTGTTTTTATTATTATCAGTCCTCCCTCCCAAAACTGTAATCCTCCATCAAAAAAACAAAATAGGAATCCATTAACAAATTGGTGTATATTACATAGTCTTCCTTTTTTCTCTAGGGGATTTGCTTTTTTTTTTCCCTCAAAAGTGTCCCCATTGTTTTGTGACTTGTTTCCTCTTAATATATGTGGACTTACTTCCATTATAGTATATCTACCTCATTTATCAGCTGTACGGATGTTTACCAATTTATTCAAACCGTTCTCTAGTGACACATCGAGCAGCAATATCTGAAAGTGCCAGTTTCCCACACCTTGTTCAACAGTGGGTATTAGTAAATTTTTTGTTCATTTTTTAAATAGGTGAGTCACGTTTCAAAATCATAAGACTTAAGAGACAGATATCTATACCCTTGCCACCCAGTTCCTGTCCGTGGAGGCAGCATGTGTCAGTTTCTTGGGTATCAAGCTAGATATTTAGTATGTAAGGGAAGCATATTAGTTTGCTAGGGCTGCCACAACAAAATGCAGACTGGGTGGCTTAAACAGTGGGAATTTTTCTCACAGTTCTGGGGCTGTATGTCCAAGATCAAGGTGTTGGTAGGTTTAGTTTCTCCTAAGGTCTCTCTGTGACTTGCAGATGACCTTTCCTGTGTGCAGCACCACCCCCCCCACCATGCCACCATGTCTCTGCGTCCAAATTTCTTCCTCTCATAAGGACACCAGTCAGATTGGATTAGGGCCCACCCTAGTGGGCTCGTTTTGACTTAATCACCTCTTTAAAGGCCCTGTCTCCAAATACAGTCACATTCTGAGGGACCGGGGGCTAGGGCTGCAACATAATGGATTTTGGGGGGACACAATTCAGCCCATAATACATATGTACGTGTGTAGGTATTTACCTAATGTGTAATTTTGATTCCTGTATAGATTTAACTAATACTTTGCTGGTTTTTAAAAAGACTTATAAGCAGCTTTTCAGTAACCTTTTTTTCAGCTAAATATTCAAGAGGTCTAGAGCTGGGAAGCAAAAAATGGTCAAGGGAACAGATCTTCATGTGTGTAAAGACAGGCTGGTGGGAAAGGAGAGTAATCCAGTTTAACACCATTGACTCAAAGGGATCCAGTGAACAGGGGCTAGCTGACCAAACACAGTACTGAAATGTGACCACTAAGGAGGAACAAAACCTGGCAGTAGCTCTGGCCCCCAAAGAGACTACAACAAACCGATGGGAAAAGCTCTTCAACAAGCAGCAAAAGGTAGCTGCAGGTCTGACACTCTTGTTTTTAGGAAGTAAAAGGCCTTTTGATTGGCTGGTGTTACCTAAACAAAGATGAGAAATCTTGAAAAAACAAGAGTTGGGGAAGAAAGCAGTTAGCGCCCGAGGTGGCCGGGGTTGGTGGAAGGAAGTAGCTGCGGAGCCCCCAGGAAGCTGGCAGAAGGGAGGAACGGTGTGCACGCCCCCCAGTCTGGGGAGGAGAGGCCCCAGGGTTCCAGTGCTGGTGCTCGCCACAGGGCGTCGGGCCAGCTCTGACAACGTGAGCTTCTGTGGTCTACTCGCGCAGGGCCGTCGAGACAGCTCAGTGGTAAGAACAAGGCAAACGACTGAACTCGGAGAGCGGACAGATGTACGTTTGCAGCCCATGTAGCAAATAGTGTGCAGTGTGGAAGATGGAAAAGTACAATTCCGTCAGTGGGGTAATGTCTTTGTCACCTTGTGAAACATTCCCTAGTTGAAGTGAAAACATCCTAGATGTCCCTTAAGAGAAAACCTCGAGTTTTACATTCCTGTAAAAACGTGTGTAAGCTTTCCCTTGAGTATCATGACACCGTGGACACCGGTGGCTTGTGGGGCAGTGGAGTAGAAAAGTGGACCTGCGTACTGTCCGTGGATTCTGAGAAGCCACCACTGTGGACTGGCAACCAGAAAGGGCTGACATGACTGAAAAGTGAAAGAACACGGGTGGAGCGCGGGCAGAGCAGAAATCCACTCTCTCTCTACATACATGGGAAACGTGGGCACCAGTGAAGCATCTAGGGAACGAAAGAGGACAGTATCAGAACTGTGCATTTTCTTTGGGTCCCTTTGGGCGTGCTAACGTAGAGTAGCACTGACCTAGCGCTGACACACGTACACTCGGTGGGGCCTCAGGCCAGGATGCTAATGATGTCATCCTGTTGCTATTGTGTTCCTGAACCTTGTACGACAATCACCTACTACCAGATCTAAGATTTGCCGGCTCTTGAGCTTGCTTAACTGCCAGCCCCTGGTTTTTCCCTTTACACCAGCTCTGGTTGTCCTAGCCACATGCCTGGTGCTGCTCTTCTCCACACCTTCGTGGCCCACATGCTCTTGCAGTGCAGCTCATGGCTGACGTCCCATCCACCCCCACGCTTGTCAGTGGACTTGGCTTCAGGCTCCTTCAGAGACGCAGTCACACACACAGTTTGTCCTGAACTACAGTAACACACATAGGGCCTGTGTCACTTGCCGTCTCACCCTCACGAGCCTGGAGGAAAGGATCATGGTTTGCAAGGCACGCTCCCACGTCCTGCTGCAGACAGCCTGCTGCCCCTGGCGGCCCGCGTCACACCTCTGTGCACCGTGTGTTTACTGGGGGCAAAGCAGACGGTCTACTGCAAGTGCACACCAGCGTCTCTCCCGTGAGCATGGCTAAAGCCACTCCCAGATGTCTAGCGGACTGTCTCTCTGCTCCCAAAGCTCTGGCACCTAGCTTGAGGTGATCTGAGTTCTAGAAAATGGGTTAAGATAATAGTTTGTAGACTCTCTACAGGGGAAATGGGACTGAGACAGTAGCGGTAGCAGCGTGAGCACAACACTTCAAAAATTCGATTAAGCTTCCACAATCTTGGACAAACATCTTTATTTAAGAAATCCAATAAATAGATGGGGTTAAAAAATTATGGTAGCAACTTCACACAAGGGTATGAGACCAAACTTAGAACTACTTGCTCAAGTTATTCAGGACAGAACAAAATTAAATGCTCACAATTAGCACAGAAAATATCTGGTTATAGTACTTGTTTTTAAACAGACATTTACTAGTATACAGTAAGATCCCACTTGTTACAGACCACTCCCCACCCCCTTGGTGTACAGCCTAAAAAAGCTAAGAATGCAAATGCTAATGTAATATAAACTTTTCTTTGTTTACAATTCCAGAATTACAACTTTTTACTGGTATAACTACCAGCAGGTTCACTTACTTTAGTTTACTGTCAGAGGGAAAGGCAATATAAGAACATAACCTGTCACTTTGGTCCCAGCCTCCCATTTTACAAACATGGATCCAGGATTCTGGATTTATAGCGGCATCACTTTGACAGAGGCAGGCCTGTGGCATTTGGCACTGCAAACGCTGTTTGCTCCGGCTTCTTGGGGAGTGCTATGTATACTGCCTATATGGTTTTATAACAATATCTCTAGATGTGCAGAAGCCCATGTACATGCTATCAACTTCAGTCCATACTGCAGAAACTTCCAGTTTTCAATCTGTCTACCAAAATCTTGACAATGACATTTGGTTCTGAATTGTGACAACAAGATCAAGCTATCTGAATGAGTAAAGTCAAAAGCTCATTCTTAAATTTTTAGAAGAAAGATATTTCCAAGGTTAGAGAGTTTATAAATAACACTGTTCACAAGCAAATATTGATCTGTTGATAATCATAAGAAACTCAATATACTGTTTTGAAATAATAAGGAATTTCATTAGGTTTAGATAAATTTAGACTACAAGTAAAACTTTTCCAGGCTATTTAGTCAAGTTACTTACAACATACACATTCCTGAGAATACCCCATTGTAGTGACATTGTTTATTTCCAAATTTTTCCACATTCAACTTAAAAGGTGTTTCTTCCCAAGAAACTGAACTTTTCTGTCAAATGCGCTTGATCGAATAGGAGAATTGGGTTCATAAAATGGATTCATTGCAAACTAGGAAAGAAGAAGGTATTAGTAAGCTTGTCAAAGTACAAAGACTGACAAATCATAGATCTCTAGAAGGAAATTATTTTAAAGTTCTAAAATCATCAAAGACATCTAAAAAAGTCTGAAGACCACATTTTTAAGTTTCAACAAAAATGTTCCACTGTTAAATAGTAATGACCCCTTGAGATTTTTGTCTTAGTGTTTTAGTTTTGAGAACTACCTGTGGCAAAACGAATGGTGGTATGATAAGTGTTGCTTATGTAAGCTAAATGAACTTTCAGGATTCACCCTTTATGTGAAATACTAATCTACTCACGTTAATTATAAATGTATGGAGTAATCTGTAAGGCCCTTTGGCTAAAACTAAAAATCCACCATATGCTCGTAAAGTTATACCCCATTGCTGCTATATTAAATGACCCTTATGTAGTAATTTTTTTGACAGTCAGGTTTTTAATACTGTCCTTTAACACAGGCTGAATGATCAGGTTCT